AAGGTAGCCACAAACTCAGAACCGGATCACCTGTTCCACAGACCTAGAGCCTACGAAGCAGCACGTTATTTTGTAGAGGCCTTGTTATATTGCTGACGCCAATCCTTAGAAATGCTAATCAATCGGTGGATTATCGGTTTTGGCCACACACGCTTAGATCGCTTCACACGCCCACGACGAACACTCAGAATCCAAGTGATCAGACGGTAAAGTTAAAAGTTATACACACTTTACGTGCGCGATCGTTCCTGCACACATGTGCGCACGTGCCCTCTGTGTTGTACAACCGTGCATCGAGACACAGGCTTCTCTAACCGACGGATTACCCAGCGAATCATAGATAAGTTACACCTTATTTTGTTCTTGTATTCATTTATTGACTTTGTTATATACCAACCATACACCTTGTTTATACATACTATTATTAGCGTACACCTTTTGTTCACATCATACACATAGGAAGCGCGATACTAATTTGATGACCCTGTCTTTTATGTTGTTCTACTCATCTTGTACTTCACTTATGTTTGACGCAAAACAATCTCAACCACCATACTTACTGACTCCTCAGGCTTACATTTGTGCTGTAAATGTTCAGTTAGTTCTGGCATCACAATCCTAGGATTTGCTTTCGCATAAGTCCAGGCACAATTCGCCTTACGAGGCATCAATTAGGAACACACGATGCATCATCAGGTGCTTACTGTTGTTCCCCAGAAATAGCAGCAGAGTTGCGTGATATATTGCTGGCCCCCGATAACAGTAAGCCAAACAAACAACTACGAGTTCCAATAATCTCTCGTACCATATTATCAGACAGAAAGACTTAAACAACTAATCAGTATTGAGACACTAGACGGATATACACCCTCACAATTCTTACGTCGTCTTTAGAACATCTTTGGAGATCGGCAAATAGAAGAGAGATTGCTCAAACACCTATTCCTCAAGCGATTACCCACTTATATTCCGTTTAATCTCGTAGTGAATACCACCCAATTTCCATTATCTCAACTGGCGAACATAGCGGACAGGATTCTAGATTCAACCTAGTTCTACCAACATAAACACAGTTGATCTTTCTTCTGCACTTCTCGCCATCAACTCTCGCACTGACGACTTAATACATCAAATCGCAATGTTGCACTTTAACCGTGCTTCTTACCGGCGTTTCCAAAATCAGCGACGCCCGCGCTCACTCCCACGCTCACGCTCAGTCTCCTCGGAACGGTACACAATGTACTGTTTGTATCATTTGACGTCTGCTCGTCTAGCCCACAAATGCAAGCCACTCTGCTCATTCCAATCGACTATTAGTTCATCGACGTCACAGACGGGAAACGAATGGGACGCACAGTAGAGGCGAGTAATGTCCAGGGCCACAAGCACCAAATCATTCGCCGTAAGCATGGTATTGCCAATACTGCTTACAAATGCGCCTTTGGATCGCCTTCGTCAAATTTTCTTGCTAATACGGTTAATGAAGATGGTATATCACCTACATCAGACAAGCTGGACGCCATTCGCAATTTTCCTCTTCCTACTTCGTGTAAAAAGCTTACATTTTTCTGAGGAATGACCAGCTTCTGCCGGCCATTTATTCTCAAAGCTGCATCCTTGTTAACACCAGTTAGGTAGCCTTTTTGTCTGGAAACCCTAAAACCTTTCGATTGACCGATTCTGCTGTGTCCGCCTTTGAGCAAGTCAAGTGTTCTCTGTTTGCTTCCCTCAAGTTATTTCGTTTGCAACACAATACTTTCGTGTCACTTACTGTTGACGCTTCTAGTGGCGCAGTTAGTGCTATTTTACAATAGACGGTTGATAATATACAGCAACCGCTTGCATTCTTTTCGCATAAGCTTGCACACACTGAGTTGCGTTTCAATACTTGGGGTAGATAATTATTAGCCATCTACTTATCCATTCGCCATTTCCGTCATCATTTAGGCAGTGGATTTCGCAGCTATACTGATAACAAACTATTAACCACAACTCTACCAGTTAAACCGGATAAGTAATCTCCTCGTGAAATGCTCCAACTTGATTTCATCACTCAATTCTCGAGTGACATTCGACATGTATCCGGAGGTTCGGAAAATAGTTGCGGGCATGTCATCTCGTCCGTCACTCGATGCACTTGGGTCTACGCCAACAATTGACTTACTTCACATTATCAATCTTCAGAAAGAAGATCCAACCATTCTGCCATCATCCATTCAGCACTTCCATTGCATCTCAAATCACTGGCACGACAAATTGCACTAGGAATGATCGACTGTGATGTTTCGACAGCAGTTCCAAGATCCGTTGTCTTACGTGCAAAGGGATGCCAAGGTTTTAACGCTCTACATAAAATCTCACATCCCGGTATACCTCCAAACGTAAAACGCATTTCACAACGTTTTATGGGGCCAAATATGAATAAAGACGTAGGTTCGTGGGCCAAAATCTGCCTGGCATGTGAAAAAGCAAAAACTAGACATAACAGCATATTTATTGGCATATTTACGTAGAAACTAGAAGCCACGATTAAACAACGCACAATAAGCGGCCTCGAAGGGGAATCGAAACACGGACACTGGGATTACCGGTCCGCTGCTTTACCAAGGTGATTCCGAGGGCTGAGGATCAAGCGCGCAATTTAATACATGAATTCTGCATGGCTCGCGTCGTCTTGCCAACGACCTCAGAGAATCTGTCCTGGTGTTGCGGCGGACAGGTAATCCGTGGGTCCGGGGTTCCATTCCTATTCGAGGTAGCTTATTGTGCAAAGTTTAATCATGGCTTCTACTATCTACGAAAAGTAAACTACTCAAAAAAATTCACAAGTAACCTACCATCGCCGTTTGAACATCAGAACGACAGATATTTCAGTTCATTGGGACGTGACGAGTGATTGAACCAATCTGCAGCACCAGAACAGATACTGTAAGCTCGTTGGCAATACGTCAAGAACCAGACAGAAGTCATGTTTTAAATTGCGCACCTGATCCTCAGCCCTCGGTGGCTCAGTTTTAGAGCAGGGGACCGGTAATCCGTGGGTCCATTGTTTGATTCCCCGTTGATTCAGCTTATTGTGCGAAGTTAAATTGTGGCTTCTACTTGTTACGAAAATTACACTACTCACATATGTCCCCAAGTAATGTACTATCGCCCTTTGTACATCAGAATGGCAAATACTTCAGTTCATTGGGAGGTGACGAGTGAGTGTGCTAATCTGCAACGCCAGGACAGATACTGTGAACTCGTTAGCAATACGTCGCGAAACAGACAGAAGTCATGTATTAAATTGCGCACCTGATCCTCAGCCCTCGGTAGCTCAGTTTTAGAGCAGGGAACCGGTAATCCGTGGGTCCGCGGTTCCATTCCCGTTGAGTCAGCTTATTGTGCGTTGTTTAATCGTGGCTTCTACTTTCTACGAAAATTACACTACTCAATTATTTCACAAGTTATTGGCACATGTGCCAATCCAGACTACCGATTCGATCATGTTCCTCTCCCCATATTCGGCCTTCTCCCAATATCTATTGGTTTCTCCTTCCCCTCACTTTTGTCGATTGATTCACCCCATGGCCACATGCGATTCCAAGCACTGACGGCTGTGTCGAGTCTATATCCCGAGCATTCATCAATGGCTGGATCGCTAAGTTCGGGTTCCCTTGCTTCATGACCACTGACCGCGGATCGTCATTTGAATTTCAATTATTTCAACGTCTCACTGAACTACTGGGATGGAAACTAGTTCGAACCACTGAGTGTCATCCACAGGCAAACGGACTAGTCGAACGTCTCCATCAATACTTAAAGGTCGCCTTGCTAGCACAGAACGCCCCTCTTCAATCGTCTAATAAACTACCCCTGATTCTCCTGCTCATGCGAAAATTGTTTCTCTCATCTCTACACAGTACACCAGTGGAGTAAGTTTTGACACAACTGACCTCATCCCAGGCCAACGTTTTGATACAGACTACCAAAGTTATACCACTTGTGTAACTAACAAAATGACCCACGGGTCTCGTTTGTACCCACGGACGCCGCGGATTTTTGGATTCACGTGCTGGATTCCACTTTTGCTTCGGAATTACTGTGTTTTGCGTTATCTTTCTGTGTGAATTGTGCACCAATATATTTCATTTGGTGTATTTTTCTATTTGTGTAAATTTGATTGAAGATCTCTTGCTAATTATGGAGATCTCATCGATTGGCCATTCAAGACGAAACTGCAAAATTCGGCAATGGTTCGTAGTACAGCTACAAGGAAAACAAGTGCTCGTCGGCCCACGCAACAGCAAACGAAAGTGATTTGTGCTTTGAAATCGTGCTCTAAAACAATCCGGATTGCAATACCTTGTAATATCTGTGAAAAGAGCTTTCATCCCCGGTGCGTAGGTGTGGCAAAAATGAAGGAACGACCTTGCACATCAGACTCCATTTGGTTCTGTGCTGAGTGCATGGCCAACCCGCTCGTGAGGTGCGTTGCTCTACTGACAGAGAAATGTGACAAACTAACCCAAATTGTGCGACTAGCAACAGCTGAAACAGCGGGTGGATCGCAACCAGCTTGTGCCGCACTCGACTCACGTTGTCTAACCGTATGCCCACACCTGGCACAAACCAGTCAAAACGATTGTTTAGTAGAGAGCATACATCTCGTAACCCCACTCACGATAGGCTGCAAATAGAGAGTTTATGAAAGACTGCCAACCCCGGCGAATCCAACGTTGCAGAGTTCGGCTTTCCCGAGTGATATGGCTGTGGCTCATGATACTCCAGTGCATTCCGATTTACCGAATAACACAGGTAGTCCGACTACCTATGCAAATATCGTCGCTGATTGTGCACCCGTGGCAAATTTAACCAGCGTGTCTGCAAGCACACCGAAGGTTGTTAGAGGCGACACTAATAACAATGTGTGCACTAAAAGATTTCCCCCCACGCCGCCGGTAATAGGAGGCATGCCGGTATCCAAATGAACGAACTCCAAGAAGATGCAGAGTTCGATGAAGATAATATGCTCTAACGTGCCTGAGTCAAAGGCAAACTCTATCAAAGATAGACTACTGGACGACATGAAACAGTGGGAATCCATATGCCGAGCAATTGGAATGCAGCCTAAACAGGCTAGCTTATGTCGTATCATCCGCCACCTCAACTCACTTCACTATGGCGAGCAGAGACTACTTCAAGTGACATTGCAGTCCGGTAACGAAGCAGAGACAGTCCTCTTGTCAGCTCACCGTCTTCGTGATTCATCATGCGGAGTTCGCATATTCCCGGATATATCTTGGAGTGAGCGTCGACAACGAAAACAAAATCCTGGAGAACACCGCAAGCAAACTGATGAAAGATCCATCTTTGTCCATGGTGTCCCCGAAACACAGGCACCGGAAGAGTCGCAGGTCAAAGCTCATGACTTAGAAGAGTGGCGGTATTTCCGCGAAGCACCATCTCTCCACGACGTAATTGCCAGCTCAACATCGAGGTTACCCATATCGCCAAACTACAAAGGAAGTGGTCCACGAGTGCTTAAAGTCTTGCTTTACTCCAAACAAACGGTTGAAACGGTGCTCGGGAATTGGCACAAGTTCCGCACCAAATTGCCATCAGAAATACGTCTGAAGGCGGTTGGAACCAGGCCACCAATGGATAAGGGAACACGAAACCAGCAAGAAGTAGTCGCGATCCCCGCTGTCTGCATTTCTGTACCGGAACACAATGAGACGCCCCAGCCGTACGATGAAGAAGGAAAAGACAGTCTGCTGCAGATCGACTCAGGGCGCTGTAGGCTTCCCACCGTAATGGCCCCGGGAAGTTTGCAAGAGACACATCAAAAAAACGTCCCTCAGCCGACCCAACAAGGGTCGGCGTAAATTCTCGGAAAACCAACGTATGTTCAAACACGCTTCTAACATCCGTAGTTCTCAATTGCCTTTATACAAACGCCCAAGGGCTTCTAAGCAAATTGGCAGAACTTCCATCTCGTCATAGCTCAATGTGTTGGGACCTCATCATGATAACTGAGACGTGGCTGAACGACATGATTAGTGACGCTGAGATCGAACTACCTGGCATGTCACTACTGCGTAACGATCGACCCACCAAGGGCGGCGGTGTAATTCTCTACTACCGTTCAGACCTTCTCATCGAGCTCATGAACGACCCTGGGATTCAAACCTTAGACTCCTTATGGTGCTGCCTACATTTAAAGCAAGGCGATAAATGCTTATTGGCCATCGTATATCGTCCACCAATGTCCACTTTAGAAATGGACAAGGCCCTGTCTTCTGCTTTGCAGAATTTACTGGAACGGTCGTACAGTCATGTTTTGCTAGTAGGAGACTTCAATCTGCAGGGCCTAGAAACCCCAGCCACCATGAGTGAACCATTCAAAGCCGATCTACAAGAGCTAATTGCAGGGTCACCGCTGTACAACCATGTCGCATCCCCAACGCGATTCAGGACAGGAAACAAACCGGCCATCTTGGACCTCGTTTTCACCAATGAGGAACTGATGATTGACGTAGTAACCACATCCACTTCCTTGGGCCGCAGCGATCATGCGACACTATTGTTCCAATACTTGTGTTATGCAGATTATCCTAATAAAAGCAACGTGGAATTTTACGTCGTAACCAACTACGATAACCTGGCAGAACTCATTAGTGCTACGAGCTGGTCCTTCTTAACTGAGTGGTCCCCAGAAGTGGCGTGCGGGAAATTTGTCAACAAATTCAACACGCTCGTAGCATTGGCATCTGAAACCAAAATCCCCCGACCCGACAAGGCGAAGTCGTTTCTCAGAAGCAGGACCCGGAAATGCATGGGATTGAGGGATCTGGCATGGGGCGCCCATATAGGCTCTCCGAGCGAGGATACTTGGAACACCTATATTACCCAAAGAAACCACTGTGTCACACTCGTCAGGGAGGATAAGGTAAAGAGCCAACAAGATCTTGTGTCAAAGTTCTGCGTTAACCCAAAGCTACTATACAGACACATAAATAAGCTTCGCCGCGTTAAGCGCGGAATTCCGGCTCTGCGCACAGCTTTCGGATTAGCACATACGGCACAGGATGCGGCGAACGTCCTAGGACAACACATCGGCCGCACTTTCCAGTGTGTGCAAACATCCTGCACCATATCTAGGCAACTTATTCCGCCATCAGGCCTTAACCACATTTCCTTCACAACTGCAGCTCTATTGAAGCGGTTGATGTCGTTGCGCGAATTTAGCTCCCCGGGTGCGGACGGCATTCGGCCGAAAGCGCTGAAAGTTTCCGCCACGAGCTTAGCTGAACCTTTGGCGACACTCTTTCAGCGATGCCTTAACGAGATGCACGTCCCAACGATGTGGAAGCACGGGATCATCACTCCAATCCACAAAAATGGTAGCCGTGCAGATCCAACTAATTATCATCCGATTACCCTTCTTCCAGTAATCTCCAAGATCATGGAGTCCATTGTAGCCGAGGCCCTCATGGAGTACCTGGAGAAAAACAACATCCTCGTTCCGGAGCAGCACGGATTTCGCCAAGGCAGGTCATGCACAACTAATTTGCTGATTGCTCGTTCAAACTGGACAGAGTCTGTGGACGCCGAAGTCGGAGTGGATGTAGCCTACTTGGATTTCTCTAAGGCATTCGACCGACTGGACCATCGGATTTTACTGAACAAGCTGCAGCATTATGGTATCGGCAATCTTATTCTAGGATGGATAGGCGATTTTCTCGTTCAACGTCACCTGAATGTAAGAGTCCGAAATACCCTGTCGGAACCAATCGAAGTTCAGTGTGGCGTACCTCAGGGCTCGGTACTCGGGCCTCGCTTGTTCATTGTTTTCATAAATGATCTTGCAGCTGCACTATCTTCCAACTTTCTGCTGTTTGCAGATGACCTAAAGATATGGCGTGCCATAGCTTCAGGAGAGGATCACACAGCCTTGCAGGATGATTTGGACAAAGCATACAAGTGGTCAAACGAGAACATGCTACAGTTCAACACCACAAAGTGCAAAATCTTGAGCATACGCCATCAGAGTGCGTATAACTACCGCTTAGGACCTGACATTCTACAGCGGACCTCTCATGAGTGCGATCTTGGCGTGCTTGTACAAGAAGATCTTGGGTGCTTAATGCAGACCGAAAAGGCCTCCAAGAGAGCAAACCAACACTTTGGCCTTCTGCGTAGAGCGTTTGGGAAGTTTGACGCCTCAATCTTTCCGAAAATGCTTAGCGCTTTTGTTAGACCGCACACAGAATACGCTATTCAAGCGTGGCAACCATGGCAGAAGTGCCACCTCACTGCACTCGATACTGCACAACGTAGAGCGACAAAATACGTCAAAGGTCTTTACAGCCTTCCCTCCCCACTCAGGCTGAAAAGTCTTAACTTATACAGTGGACGTTACCGTCGTTTGAGAGGCGATCTCATATTGGTGTACCGGATACTGAGACCCCCCAACCACACGTGTCATTCCCTTTTGAAACGCAGTCAAAACGCATCCCTAAGAGGTCATCAGTTTAAGTTGATCACACAGTACAGTCGACTGGAATGTCGACACTATTTCTTCTCCCTCAGAGTGTCACAACCTTGGAACGCCCTTCCAGAACATGTAATTAACGCTCCCACCCTATCCCTTTTCAAAAAACGCCTTGACGAAACTCTGACACGATTGCACTATGTGACATAACGTGCGACCATCGGATGATGGTATTAGTGAACAACGAACGTGGACGGAATCCACTTAAAATTCCTATTGGATTACTTGTTTATGTGCATCTCCAATCCCTTGGTGAGTCATGCATTTCACACGTACTTTCATCGATACGATTTTTTAATTTTACGATGTTAATTCTCATCATCCTACGGGACCTGTCAAGCATTGCTTTTATACCCGTCATAAACCATTGTTCCATTGTTCCATCATCCACTCCAACCACGAACAAGCCTTATCACGGTGCAGCAGACCTTGACACTTTTTACCGTATTTTCACACATTCCGATCGTGTTAAGTCACCTTTACACCCACCGTCTGGTGGCCCATTTCTTGTCCTACACTGTTCCGTGAAACATTGTACTGAGCAACATTTCATCTGCTACGATATTCATAGATCATCTTAAACCAGCTTACGCAGACCTTATGGAATCCGGCATCCCCACTCAGACATTAAGCACTTTGTCCACGAATATTTCACAGCCCAAAGGCAAACATCAAGTACCACTCGTTCTGGTCGTAAAGTGCATTGATCTGATCGCTACACATCAGAGTGAACCACTGTTCGAGGTGGAGAGTATGTGCAGAGGCCTTACCATTTTGCCTAATCAATCAATCAAGCAATGGGTAGATCATCGGGTTAAGCCACACAAGCTTAGCTCAAATCATAAACCCACGACGAAACGCTTAATTGCCAGTTAACAGACCGTACGATTACAAATCATACACACCTTACGCGCCTGTTCGTTTGTACACACGTGTGCACAGGTGGGCTTAGCACACACAAGTAACAAGGCTTTCTGTATGATAAACCTTGCGTCGAAACACAGGCTTTTCTGACCAACGGATTATCCAGCGAACCGTAGATAACTCAAACATGATATCGTTCATGTTGTATTCATTTAGAAAAGTTATTGTATACGAACTATACACACTGTTTATTCACCCTACAGTATTAGTAGCGTATAACTTTTGCTCTCATCATATACATAGAAATCACACTGAAAACTCTGCCACCATGACTCCAGTTTTACACTTGTGTTTATCCTCTCTGTTTCCTTTTATCGCGGTTTGTGTTAAGCTTAACTTCTGCGTGTGCAGGAGGAATTCGGTGCCAAAAAGGCGAATTTCACGTCTCTGTAAAATAGGTTTGGTTCAGTGTATATCCTTTACGTTAGACTTTGGACCACTGACCAGGCTTTCAAAAATGTTTCTTTGCGTCTTATGGGCATCGTAGGCATTCTCGCTCGGAGAGACTTAGTAAGAGTGTTAGGCTGATTCCTTGAGATTAGATAATTCTGCTTTCTGTCTAGTAAGAATTCTTATGCCTGTTGGCTTCTAATGCAGTTGCCTCTGTCTGATTTTGATAATTAACGAGATTTAGCTAGGCGACTTCAGAGACTACTAGGTCATGATGAAATAGTTAATTGCAATATTGCTGTCAGAGATTCTAACATCACGGGATAGGACGCGACGTGCTTCGTTGCGTTCATTAAGCTACTGCGAAACAGCGTTGCTGAAAGATCTCTGCGACCCAAGGAGGCCCCCATCGTTATTGCAGTAACAATGGGTTACTCGTTGTGAGCAGGGGGTGTAAGATATCTAGTTCATTTCCTATGCTGAATGACTTTGGAGAAGTAAGATGATTATACAGTCGTGAATCAGTGAGTTGTTCTTGTAATTCCGTTTTGAATTGCTCGCTGAGCATGTTTTGGCTTTTCTGGCGTTCAGGCTGAAGCCTCCGCCAGAAGAACGGGCTGGAAGACCGTGCCAATCGCTCTATATAGCAAGAGATAGACTACAACCAATTTCTAAACTGGTGACAGTTGGACGATGCACTAGTGCATGTTAACACGTGCACCTCCATCTTAGGCACAAGCAATATCAGAGAGAGTTGATAACTTGAAATCCTGGGCTGTTAAGGTCATCAGTGTGTAACTCAGAACGGCTAGAAAAACGTACTTTCGTTTCCATTATTAGGTCGATCGCTACACATTAAGTGCGTACCATTTGGGGAGATCTGAGCGTTGATGATAACGTCATTCAGCTATATATAGGATATCATAGCGAGTTCTCAAGACCTTAAGAATTGAAGACTACTATGCCTAGCCGATTCGTTGCGGAGGTCCTGTTAGATTAGTTAAAACAGCTGTTACC